CAGCCGGGAGGATCCAACGCTCTTCCAAGTTCAGGCCGCTGCAGGCTGCAGGCCACCCGACGGGGAACACATCCCGCGAGGCATTGGGCATGAAGGGACAGAGGTATGAAGTGTGGTAGGAGCAGGTCCAGTCAGCAGCAGGCGGGCGCAGGCTGCACCGAGGCTGCCCGGGCGATCTAGACGGAGAATGGGCGCCTGCAGAGGCCAGGCTGGGCCGACACACAAGACCCGCAGCCAGTGCAGGTGGAGCAGCCAGGGGGGCCTGGAGGAGAGTGGCGGCTCTGTAAGGGCGCAGGAGTGCTGGGACAGGACGCTCAGTGGGGCTCAGTGCTGATGGGTTTTTAATCTCTCTGTGGGAACCGCGAGACGGGGGAGAGGAGACCAGGCCACGGTGTAGAGAGAGCAGTACATCCTTTGCGGCTCACTCCCAGAGTGGGGAGTCAGAAGCCCTCTCTAGCTTTCCTCCCAGGCTCACACCTGAGAGGAGCTTCAGGGTGTGCAATTTCCAGAAAGCGGGGCTGTGGGTGGCACCAGGAGAGAGGAATCTGGCCACAGCATCTTCATCTTCTGTTCTCACAGCATTTAGGGATCTTGCAAGACCCACCCACTCTGCTTGAATAGGCTAGAGACCCCCCACCAAAGCTGCCCTGGTGAGCAGGTCTCTGGCCACACTAAGGAGGGCCTTCAGGTGCAGATAGGGTGGTGGGTGTCTTCCCACTGGCCCACTCCCACCACTTCCTGCTGATGCTACAACTGGTGAAGCTCAGACTGACAGCCTCAGCTGGAGTCACCTCCTGGTCTGGAGAATCCCATGCCTTGGGACCACCCGTGCCTTGGGGGTCAGGAGGAATGCCAGCCCTGCTGTCCTTGTCCTCAGTGAACCTGTGCTCAAGTTACCCACAATGAGAAACTGTTTGTATAAACTCAGTACTTCCCTGCCTCAGTTTCCCAACTTCCTCACCTGCACCAAAGGCCTGGTCCTAGTTTGGCTTTTAGGGGACCAGAGTAACACCAAGAGTGACTGACATTTGCATGATGGTGTACACTGGGATGCTCTCCAGCACCTGCACCCCCACTCTTCCCAGCTCCCAGACTCCTTACAACTACACCCCTCTTGTAAATTATCTGATTGAACTAAATGGGGAAGTTTCTGCTGTTTGCATTAGCCGAGCCTTTGGTTAGTTGGGGATAGGTCTTGGGCTGAACTGGACAGGGGTGAACAGGAGGAAACTGTCAAGGAAGCCACCAAGTCTGGAGGAATGCTGAATGTGTTTATTAGTCAACAGAATAGAAGAGGACCAAAGCTTTAACTAGCAGAAGGTTCCAACCCTTGAAGGCCAGGTTCATTTAGACTGGTCCCAGGAGCCTGGGAACCCAGAGCAGAGTAAGGAACAGCAGTGCAGGGGAGGGGTCAGGCCTGGGTATGCCATTATGGGCTATCAGCATCCGGATCCAGTCAAAGTGCTGACTAACGTTGGTGTAGACTCCAGGCCGGTTGGGTCGACCACAGCCTACTCCCCAGCTCACAATTCCAATCTGATACCACAGCCCTTCCAGTTCGCAGACTAAGGGTCCTCCTGAGTCACCCTGGGGAGAAGCCTGGGTGAGTCCAGCCCTGGGAAGGGTAGGTAGGGCCTGCAGAGAGGCTGGGGGAGCAGGGTGGCTGTGGAGCCAGGAGACTGGGTATGAGTTCTACTGTCTCTTCCCCAGCAGAGACAGAGCCTTAGTTTCTGCATCTACAAAGTGGGACAGTCTCCACCTCCCAGGGTTAGCATGAAATCAAATGAGATATAGGGTGATAAGTTGATGTCTGACCTGGGGCTGGGAACAGTGGGATACTAGTTGCAGAAGATCATGGTGGGCTGGGGTGACACTCACAAAGCAGGAATCCTTGCCGCCTGCAAGCTGTCCGGCACAAACCATGTCTCCCCAGATGCTATAGCGGAAGTCTGACATTTGGTACAAGTGGTTACAGATGGTGGTGTTGATGATGGACACCTGCACTTCCTGGAGGGTGTAAGGAGATGGCAGATCTGTGGGGGACAGGGGACAGAGAAACAGGCAACTTGATTCTCTGCTGGGGTTGGGGAGAGACATCATAGGCTGTTGGGTAGGGGTGACCCTGGGCACCAACAATGCCTGCAACTGTCTCTTGCTAGGCCTGGGCTCCAGCCCTGTACTCAGGAACAATCAACAAGTTACAGAAGAAGGCTAGGGTGTAGCTCAGTGGTAGAGTGCATGTTCCAGGCCCTGGGTTGAATCCCCAGCAACCCCTGCAACACACAAAAGAACAATATCAAAGAGGGACCTGTGGAGCCAGGTGCAGTGGTGCACCCCTGTAATCCCAGGGGCTTAGGAGGCTAAGGCAGGAGGATCACAAGTTCAAACCAAGCCTCATCAATTTAGCAAGGCCCTAAGCAACTCAGTGAGACCCTGTCTCTAAATAAAATATTATTTATTTATTTGTGGCTCAGTGGTAGAGCGCTTCCCTAGCATGTGCGAGGCACTGGGTTCAATTCTCAGCACCACATATAAATAAATGAATAAAATAAAGATCCATTAACATCTTAAAAAAATTTTTTTAAAAGGGCTGGGGATATTGCTTGGTGGTTTATCATCTGTGTCTTCAATCTCTGGTACCAAAAAATAAATAAAGAAAAGCAAGGAAGGAAGGAAGGAAGGGAGGAAGGAAGGAAGGAAGAGGGACCAGTGGAAGTACAGGCTATTAGCACTCTGCCAACACTCACTTTCTCTTACTGTAGAATGTACACAAAGCTCCTGCCTGAGGCAGTGGGGTGATTCCTCCATCAAAATGAGCATAAGGGGAGGGGCTAAGATGGTTTTATGATTAACAAAGCCCTGCTGCAGCATCCAGATGCCAGACAGGGTGGGAGCCATCCATTGATGCTGTCTCCTTGATGACATCCGGGGCACCTCCAAGGCCTGAACCATGTGCTCTCAAAGTTCCTTCATCACCTCTGGGATGGTGTGGCATCAAGACCCACTCCCAGATAAAGAACAGGTCAGGGGAAGAGTCACCTCCAGAAAGGCACCAGAGAAGTGTCAGAGCCTGATGTGAACCCAATTCCTGTCTGGGTCCAGTTACCACAGGACCCTGTAGAGGATGACAAGAGCTGACACACAGATAGTGCTTCCTCTACACTGGACACTTCTAAGAGCTTGGGTGCTAACCCTGTTAAACCTCAGAACTACCCTGAGGTTAAGAGCTCCCCCGCCCCCAGCTGCTGGAGATGGAACCCAGGGCCTCACACATGCTAGCAAGTGCTCTACCACTGAGCTATACCTTCAGTCCTTTTTTAAAATTTCATTTTAAGGGCTGGGGATGTGGCTCAAGCGGTAGCACGCTCGCCTGGCATGTGTGCTGCCCGGGTTCGATCCTCAGCACCACATACTAACAAAGATGGTGTCCGCCGAGAACTAAAAAATAAATATTAGAAATTCTCTCTCTCTCTCTTTAAAATAATTTTTTTTTTCATTTTAAGACAGTCTCACTAAGTTGCCCAGGTTGGCCTTGAACTTGAGATCCTCCTGCCTCAACCTACTGAGCAGCTGTGCTGGCCACATCCTGTGGCTTGGAAATTTTGAGAAGAAAGGGCTCAGCTCTCTGGGACAGGCAAGTGGAACTGGGGTGGCTGCAGAAGGCACACTGAGGCTCAATGGTGGGCTGGCTGAGGAAGTGGGAAGACACATGAATAAAGCAAGGCTAAGGTTCTTCTCCACACCCTCAGGACCCCATCTCTCAGGCTGGCCAAGCCGGCCTCCTCTGCACCCCTTCCTTCTGGCTCACATGGTGTCTGCAAGGGAAGGGGATGAGCCTGTCTTCCTGACCTTGCAGTGGGAGCAAGAGGAGAGAAGCCTCTGAGCAGAGAATGCTGAGCAGGTGCCCAAGTCCAGAGAGGGCAGCTGAGCTTGGTGGCTAAATGGGATGAGTAGTACCTTCTCCCAGACCCACCTATCCCCAGCCTCACCTTCACCCTCTCTGATGTCCCCCCAGCCGGTCACCCAGCAGTCAGTCCGGTTCTCGAATTCCAACGCGGAGGGAACGATGCAAATAGGCTGGATAAGGTTTGTGTACTTGACAGAGGAGTCCAACCTTAGCAGGGCAATGTCATAGGGCGCCTTCCCCTTGAATTGGGGGTTCAGATAGATATCTTCCACTTGGTAACGATTGTAGTAGGCCTGCAGGTTCCAGATACCTGGCCTAGAAGTCAGCTCGCCAAACTGGACCGTCCACTCAAAGGGATCAAGGGAACTGGTGGGGGAGAAGAGAGCTGGCCACCTGAGTACACCTACACCCCTTCCTGATGGGACACTGCAGGGCCACTACCACCTGCTCATCTCAAACACCATTAGCAAGTCCCTCTAATGGGCCCTCAAGACAGACACAACCAAAGCCCTCACTTCTGGGCACTCTGAGGACAGTGGCTCCCTCCAGTGGTCTTGTCACCTCCAAGAGCTGTCCTAATGACATGAACCCCTATGTAGCCCAAAAGAACTGAACAGATATGGGTAGTGGTGTGGGTGCTGGGCAGGATTGAGTCAAACCGCTGCTCTGGAGAGAGCTCCACAGGCCAGGCTGCTTGGCCAGCACCTGCCCCACCCCTTAGCCCCCGACTCCTGAGGTATACGTCTGCAAGGTAGGTGGAGGGTGGTAGGAAAAGAAAGGGGAGAGAGAAAGAAAAGGGTGAGCAATACACTCAATGGTGCATGGGAATGCAATGGAAGAACATTCTGGAGGAAACTGAAAAAGGTTCCCTCCAGGGGCACCCACAGAAACTCAGGTGGGTACAACCAGCTGCAGCAGAGCCTTGGGCTCAGTACAAGAGCCTGGGGCTGCATACACCTGAAATGGTGTATGCAAGTGTGGCCCTGGCCGCGGTCACTTCCCACCTGCCCCCAGCTCTCTCCCGACTCACGTTTCAAGACTCACGTTTCAAAGCAGTGGGCGGCAGTGAGCACCCAGCGGCGGCTGAGCAGGCTGGCTCCGCACATGTGGCTGCCCCACAGGCGCAGGCTCCCTTGCCATGGCCAGCTCTCGAGTCTCGCGTTCTCTCCACCCACCACGCGGGACGGGAGGGTCCGGTGGCCGCATGGCCCTGGGATGGTCAGACGAACCTGTGGCTGTGTTGAACGAGACAGGCCCACCCCGCCCGGCTTGCCCCCGGGGTCCCTGGCCCCCAAGGGGCTCCATCGAGGCCCCGCGCGAGGCCCCGCGCATCCTGGGTCTGGCTGTGGAAGGAGAAATGGTTCTGGGATCCTCCCCTGTGGCCCGCCGGCCCAGCCCTCCCACAGGGCCCCGTTACTTTCAAACACAGATGAGTCCTCGAATCTGGGATGAGGGAGAGGAACGGATGAGGCGTCCTTTGCACCCCGGTGCAGGCGCACCACAGCCACACAGGTAGCGGGCATCCTGGGCGCCTTACCTGACAACAGGTCCACTTCCAGCGATTCTGGGTGGAGGCGAGAAGGTGAGCGCCCTTGACCTCGGCATCCGTCATCCCCTCCATTGCCACCAGTGCTGCCAGCAGCGTCCCCTGCACTCACCCTTCTCCTCCTCGGGTTCCACCCGAGACAGTAGCAGCGCCAGCAGCAGCAGCAGCTTCTCGCCCCGAGTGCTCATGGCCTCCTCTCCTGCAACCTGGCGCCCCTCTGCTTCCTACTGCTCCAGGCCCTGCTGGCGCCCCCTCTGCTTCCTACTGCTCCAGGCCCTGCTGGCGCCCTCTAGGGGAGAGGCAGCAGGCGGGAGCCCAGGCCACCACATTCTCCCAGCTGGAGCTCCCTGGGCCTACGCTGAAGCCCTTAGGTTCAGCTGCTACGGGGGTTGGTCAGCCTCTGCACTCCTTGATGTGGGGCAGCGGCCAGTGAGCCTCACAACCCCTTTCTTGTCTCCTGGCTGCCTTCCCTGTTGCCCGCTTTCCTCCACCAGGACCAAGGATCTGGCCTTCAGCCAGGAGCCCCCAGGTAAGCCCATTAGCACCTCCTCCTTGTTTGCCAGGCCAGGAACATATTCCTTCACAGGACTTTGTTGGGGACTTTGTGACGGCCTTGGGCTTTGTGTCTGCTAGCGGGCAGCAGTCTGGTCCCCACCGGCTTAGGCTGCCCCCTAGCGGCAAGCCCCCCTCGCTAACCTCGTTGAGCCTTTTTTCCACTTTAAATTGGAGGTACACACTATTAGTGGATTGCCTTAATTTTTTTTTAAAAAAAAATATATTTATATGTACATTTAAATTTATTTATTTAATGGTACTGGGAATTGAACTCAAGGGTGCCTTACAGCTGAGTTACTTCCCCAGCCCTCTTTATTTTTTTATTTTTTTAAAGAAAGAGTGAGAGAGAGAGAGAGTGGGAGAGAGAATTTTAATATTTATTTTTTAGTATTTGGCGGACACAACATCTTAGTTTGTATGTGGTGCTGAGGATCGAACCCGGGTCGCATGCATGCTAGGTGAGTGCGCTACCACTTGAGCCACATCCTCAGCCCCTACCCTCTTTATTTTTTGAGCCAGGCCTGCTGCTAAGTTACCTAGGTTGTTCTCAAACTTGAGATCTTCCTGCTCAGCCTCTTGGATAACTGGTATATTTTTTTTGTCTTTAACTGACACATAATTGTACATAGATATGAGTACAATGTGACTTTTCAATGCATGCATACAATGTGCAGGGATCATATTCATCATCACAAACCTTTATCACCTCTTTGTGTTGGGAACATTCAAAATTCTCTTCACTAGCTAATCAATTATTATATTATATTCAGTATAATATTATATTATATGTATATTATATTCAATAAATTGCCAACTACAGTTCCCTCACTGGGTGCAGCACTTTAGAATTTATTCCTCCTCTGTAACTGCACCCCTGCACCTGATAACCATCCTCCCCCTTCTTCCCAGCCTCTGGTGACCCCATTCCATTCTCTATTTCTTTGAGATGAGGTGTTTTTAGCTTCAACATATAAGCGAAGACATTCAGTTTCTCTCTTTCTGGACCCAGTTTACTTAATTTACCACAATGTTGTCCAGGCTCATAAATGCTCCTGAAGATGAGAGATTTCATCCAACACTGGGCTGAATCATGATGTCTTGCTGTGCTCATCGAAGCTGTGGAGAAGGACAACCAATCCTGACAGAGCTGAAACTGCCTTTGACAAATGTTACTGTCTGAGGGTCAAAGGAATGAGTGGAAAGGGAGACAGACAGACACACCACTGGGTTGGCTATCCCAGTGTCCTTGTGACCAGAGGCTTCTGGAGGGGGTCTGTGGAGGGTGGCTTGCCTGGTACCCTTCTGTTTCTGAAACACTCCCAGGGACAAGGTGGGTTTTGAGGAGTGCTGACGTCCCCAGCACTGCCTTCAGGGAGCTCCCTCCAGGCAGGACAGTCAGGACTTGCAGGAGTGTCCCAAATGTGTCCTCTTCCTGGGAGTCCTGGGACTTGGGACAAGTGCTGAGGCAGGGGTCAGCAGAGGCCCTGGCTGGAGGCACAGCAGAGATCATTCCCAGATGGCATCCTTGACACAGGGCACATGGTGTGCTGCTGTGGTTACACCAGCTCACTTCTATGTCTCCTTGACTTTACACATCAGTGGCCAGGTCACCCCTGTGGAGAAAGTGGCAGTGGATCTGGGCTCAGGTCAAAGCACTCGGGCAGAAAAGGCCTCAATAGTGGGCTGGGGCTTGGGGAGAGACCCAGTCCATGTACATAGCAAGGGGCAAGAGTTTCCCTAAATCATCCCCCTCTGCTTCCCTTAGCCCTCCAGCAGTTGTATCTGAGCCAGTTTCTTGAGCACTCCTGGCCACTGGGACCAAACACAGCTCATCACCCAAGACACACAGCCAGCCACCACTCTGATGCTGTGGGGAGGCACAGGGAGACTTTCTCAACTGCAGCCCAAGGGAGCATTCAGGCTGCAGGTCCTGACAAACCCCACAAACTGCCCAAGGCCTCCAGAGCCCCTTCCAGCCCAGCCCTGAGAGAGCAGCAGGACAGGCTTCTTCCTGGCATTCAGGTCCACAACTTCACCTCCGTAACAAGGCTTTCTCTGCTCTGAATGAAAAGCAAACCATAAAGGCCCCCACTACCTGTCCACTCACTGCCCCAGAACTGAGCAGTGTGGCTGAAATGGTCTCATCTGGTGGTTGTGCCATGGCTATTGGCCACCTCCAAACTCTGCTCAAGGCAGGCTTGGGGAACACTTGTGGAACTGGATGGTTGTTGGGTATAAAAGGAAGGAAGGGGCTGGAGGAGGAGGAACAGGAGGTGCACAGTGTCCCCAGGGTTGAGGGCTCTGGATTGGAGGCAAATCAGTGGGACAACCTGCAGAAGAGTGGCTTAGCCAGGGGCCTCACTGAGCGGCTCCATGAATGCCCTTGGAGAATCTCAGGTGTTGGAAGCCAGAGGCAAGATCTGCCAGGCTCAGAAGTCCCTTGGGTGTCATGGGGTTGGGGAAGCACTTCCTCCTCTCCTTTCTGCTCTCCTATAGCCTCCCAGGCTGCCACCACCCAGCTCCTATCCCCAACAAAGTCCTGTGAAGGAATATGTTCCCCAGCAGCTGTTGTGTGGTGTGGGAGGGGTCTTCTGTGTGAGGGGAGGGGGCCATGCTCCTTCCTCTTGCACCCCAGACAGGCAACACATAGCATGTAAGAGCTTTGGGGCCAGGTTACCATGCTGTGTCCCTGGTGGTCAGCTGAAGTCTTATCCGAATGGCCAGCTGGTTGATCTGGAGAGAGTGTGGGCTGTTTCCTTCCAGCATGGTCAGCTATATCCCCTGGTCTCTGGCCTCCTGGCTACAGCCCCATCCCAAACAGCACCACAACTCTCTGTCCCCATCCCTAGCTTTCACTTAGCTCTGCTAGACTCACCACCCATAACGAGTCAGACTGTCCTGTCACAGCAGCTGAGAAGGAGTGGCAGGAGCCTACATGCCCCAGATGCCCAAATGAGGCTCCAGGGAAGGGCCTAGGTCCAGGGGAGTGAGGCAGCAGGGCAGGGACACTATGGAGGAAGCCCTAAGCGCAAGCACAAGGACCCAGAGAGACCAAAGAGGGTGAGGAGGGCCCATGTGGGAGCTTGTGACAGAGGGGACCTATGACTCCAGGGGCTCTAGGAGCCCTGGGAGAGGGGTGTCCTGGGATGGAGGCTGAAACTCCCACCCAAAGAGGCTCAAACTGCCCCCATTTCCTGCCTCTGGACCTCGGGGTCCCCACTTGCCCCTCCACCCCTGTTGGGGTCCCAGCCTGTGCTTCTGCCTCCAGCTCTCTTCTTAGCTGTCTTTGGTCAGAACCCAGAGTTCTCTGGAGAGACTGGGAAGAAGAGTGAGAAAGGAGAAAGACTAAGAGCACCCCCAGTCTGCTACCAGTCCTGTGCCATTTACACCCAGCAGGTGTGAGATGTCATACCACCTGCCCAGTCCAGGCAGACCCAGGCCTGACCCCTAGCCCTGACCCCCAGCCCTGACCACAGCCCTGGCATTGAACTTCAGACCTGTCCATGACTCTGAGATTGACCCTAGCTCTGCCATGACCCCTAGCCTTGCTCATCATCTTGGGATCTATCAACCCCTACCAATGAACTCTAGACCCCAGGTCTGCTCAAGACCCTCAGATTTACCCAATGCCACCTGTGACCCCAGGACTCACCCATGCTTTGCTCAAGTTCTTGGTATTATCCCCTGGTCCTGTCAATGACTCCAAGACCCCCTGGATGTGCTGCTCTCATGCCCACTTTGCTTACGAACAGCACTGCTGAGGAAAAGTGGGCTTGGGCACCAGGAGATCCCACTCCTGTTTCCCTGTCTGCAAAATGGGGCCAAGAGCAATGAGCACGTCCCGGGGCCGCTGTGAGCATCTGGCCATACTGCAAGTGGAGGCTGTGGCTGGTAGGCCTGGGTGGACATGTTCTGCTGGGTCTAGTCTTTATTGTCTCAAAGACAGACTCGCTGCAGGGAGCTCAGGCCAGCCCCAAGAGTCCCAGAAACCAGCAAAGAAAGATATTCTGAGTGATGGCTGCACCCTGTGGCTCAACTCTGGATGGGGCATGAGAAAGGAGAAAAAGTTGCCAGGCTCTGTCCCCAGGGAACCACAGGGCAGCCAGGCAGCCGAGAAACAGCTCAGGGCCCATGGGGACCAGCGGGAGGCCAGGGCTTAGCAGAGGCTTACAAGGTCTAAAGAAGGGGTGGGGGGAGGTCTTCTGTGAGAGAGCTCCCCAGGGCAGGGCATGGGGTGGAGGGCAGCGTGTGGCTGACTTTGGTGTAAACAACTGGATTCTTGGGGAAGTTATACTCATTTCCCCAACTCACCACTCATGCCTGGGCCCAGATGCCAACAATGTCACAGACCAGGGGGCTTCTGGAATCACCCTGGGGAGAAAGAAAACGTCCAGAGGTGCAGGGATGCCCAGGGCCAGTTCTCCTGGACACAGAAACCAGGCCCTCCACCCCTACCCCAGTCCCCCAGCCTCCCTCTAGCAATTCAAGCCCAGAGCTAGGAGGAAGAGGGTCAATGCCCTGAGAGTTTTTGGGAGCAGGTAGGAGTAGCTGGTCTGGGAACTAGAGGGGGATGGAATTTCTGCAGATGGGACAGGCAGTGTGACAGGGACCATATATTTCTAAATAAAATTTAGATTTCTGCTTCAGTTGTGTATTTCAGAGTTGAGACTCAGAGAAGCACTTTCGAGTTGCTGACTGATATTTCCGTTTGTTTCATTTTCTATGTAAAATATCTCTTCTTTGAGGGAAAACAGTGAGGCATGTGGCAGGTGCATATAAGAGCAGACAGGGAAAGACACCACCAATCAAGCCCAGAAATGACTTGCCCTGCATGAAAATGTGGTCAAAGGCTCACAGTGGTTTTTTTTTTTTGGGGGGGTGGGTGGGTGGGTATTCTGGCCCCAAAGGAAAAACTCTCAAGAGAGAGATAAGATCAGTCTCAGATTTTGAATGTTCTGATTTTTTTTTTTCAGTGCTGGGAGGGGACCCACAGTCTAGGAATGTGTTCTACCACTGAGCTACATCCTGACCCCATGGTATTTATATAATATTTCAAAGGCAGAAGGGCTGGGGTGTAGCTGA